TGGAGATTTGTGACAATTTGAAAAAATATTTGGTTTTCTCTAGCTTACTTTACAGTAAGAATATAACATAATACATATAATATACAAAGTATGTGTTAATCAACTGTTTATGTTATTGGTAAGGCTTTTAGTCAACATCAGGCTGTTGGTAGTTTAGTTTTTGGGGAGCCGACTTACTGGGTTTTTGACTGCACTGAGGGTTGGGGCCCAGCTGAGAGATTCCAACACCATAAGAAAATATTTCACAATGATAGAGTGGGATTTGACCAGAAAGTCAAGACTGGTTCAGTATTAAGAAAACTATTTCTATAATTTACCATATTAATTAACAGATTAAAGGAGAAAAACCATGATTGCTTTTACACATGCTGAAACATTCCTTAACAAAACTCAACACCCATTCCTTACATAACAAAACAACTAAAGAACATAAAACTGATAGATTTTGAAAGCTTTTTATTTTGAACTAATTTTAGACTTACAGAGAAGTTACAAAGTATCAGTTCTCATATAACCTTAAACCAACTTTCTCTAGTATTAACATCTTAGTACAGTACAATGATCAAAACCAAAAAATTAACTCTTACACAATACTGTTAACTAAACTTTAATCCTAATCAAGTTATGCCTGTTTTTCCCATTAGGGTCCTTTTTCTGGTCCAGGATTCAAAGGAGGTTCCCACATTGCATTTAGTTATCATGTATGTTTAGTCTCCTCCAATCTGTGACAGTTCCTGTGTTTTATCTTTTGTGAACTTGACACTTTTGAAGAATATTACTTCACTTTTGTTTGTAGGATGTTTTTTCATGATTAGAGGTGGTTACTTCATTTTCGGCTAGGTTACCTCAAAAGGTTACCTCAGTGCAACATAGCAAAGGGTTCACCATACAGCTCTGTCTCATTACTGATGATGTTAACCTTGGTCTTGATCATTTGATTAAGACAGTGTCTACTGGGTTTTTCCACTGTAAAGTCACTGTTTTTTCCTTTATAGTATCTTGGGAGAGATACTTTGAGATTATACAAATATCCTACTTCTCCTCAAACTTCCACCCAATAACTTCAGCATACATTTGTGGCACCTGCATGCAACAGTCACATATGTGGGGTTTAGCCAATGACAATGTTCTGTTTCTCACTTTCACTCTAAATCCATTAACTGGAACTGTTCATAGGGAAGAGCTGTCCCTTTTCCTCCATTTATTTATTCAATTATTTACTTATATCTGTATGGATTCATATCTTACCATGGGTTATAACAGAATATTATCACTATTTTATGCTTCAAACACTGGGAGCTCCCTGGGACTGGGCTCTTCCATGCTTTAACCAACAAATGTGGCCCTAGTGACACTGTGCCAGTTACAGGCTTAAGTATTAAGGAAGCTTTTGTGAGGCCCAAGATGCCATGTATGAAGTTCAACCTCTCTGCTGGAGAGAGCACGCAGTGGCAGAGGCCCTGACACTGCATGGAGAGAGAACAAGTGCCATTTGCTCCAGCTGACCCCCGCCTTCCGGTCAACCTGTGAAGCATCAAATGTGCAAGGGAACCATTTTGGCTGTTCCAACCCAGAAAGTCCCCAAGTGACTGCGGCCACCGTCAAGTTTATAACTACCCAGCTGATCCCAGAGTACCCAAAGAACTGTGAGAGATTAAAGTATAAGGGTTCTTCTAAGACACTAAGTTTTGGGGTGTTCTGTTGTACAGCAATCAGTAATCAGAACCCTTCCAGACATGCTGTGCCTTCTCCCTGCTCAGCTTTCTTAGTGACAGAAACATCTTCCCTATCACTGTGACTACTTTCTTACCTGCCACGTGAAATCAGCTCCCGAGGCTGACTGATTTCCACCTGAGATCCTCATTTCCTCCCTACCGCACACCAGCTGGTGGATGAGGACAACAGTAAGATCCCCTCCTGACAGTCTCTGCAGACCTCCTCCCAACACCCAGTCAGCTTCATCCATTCCTCCCAGAACTAGCTCTAGATATTTAAGGATTATTCACTCATTTGGTAAGTATTTATTAAGCCCCTACTGTGTGATAGGCACTATTTTAGACACTGGTGATACATAAATGAACAGAGAAATGCCTTCATTGATATGAAATTCTCATCATAAATTAATAAATTTATCATAAATTAATAAATAAAACACACAGTACATCAGAAAGTGATGAGTGAGATGAAGAGATATATAACAGGGAAGGAAAATAGAAGTTACAGAAGTGGGTTGGGGTTTGGAATTTTAACAGTGGTTAAGGAAGGCCTCTCTGAAAAGGTGATTGAGCAAAAAATCTAAAGAATGTGAGAGAATGAGTCAAATGTGTAACTTTGAAAAAAGCAGTGTAGGCAAGAGAACAGTGCACAGTCAAGGTAGAGACACTTCACTGCATGCTGTGACTAAGACCAAGTGGTGGAGACGAAGTTCCAGGGTAAGTGTTGGGGGAGATGCTCCCCAGCCCTGTAGGACACTGGTTTTGATGCTGAGGGTTATGAGCAAATGCAAGACATGATTTGAGTGACATTTTAGAATATCCCTCTTGTTGCTGTACTGATTAATATTCCTTAGGGGGACAAGGGAAGAAGAAAAGAGATCCCCTGAGGGGTACTGATCATCCAGGTGAACTGGTGGCCTGGATCAGTGGCAACAGCAGAGGTTGAAGAGAACTGTTAAGAGTCCAGATTGTTTACTGCAGATGGAGTGTAAGAGCAAGAAAGGAGCTGAGAATGACTCCACGGTTCTGAGACTGAGCAGTCTGAAGGAAGGAGTCACTATGTCTTGCTCCCTCTCAGAGTTGATCTCCAAGAATGAACTGTCAGTATGCCACTGTGGTGCGGCACGTTCGGGGGGGTATCAGCGTTCTCTGCACACATTAAGTTTGGGATGCCCAGGAGATACTCAAGTGGAAATGTGAAGTAGTCAGTAGAATACTGAAATTTAAAGCACTGGTTCAGGCTGAGCCTCAGAGAAATGGCACTTAAGGCTTTGAGAGAAGACGGGGCCACCAAGGAGACACTGTGGCTGGAGAAGAGGAGAGGGCTAAGGACTGCACCAGCGCCTTCCATGGTGGGGGTCTGAGAGAAAAGAAGCCGGCAAAAGAGACAGAGGGGGAGCAGCTTCTGAGGGAAGGGAGCCTGGAAGCCAGGAGCAACTATGTGAAAGGATATTCTAACAAGGAAGACTGATGTAGCTATGTAAAATGTTGCTGAGAACTGGCTGAGGCAGTTAGCCACTGGGAAATCACTGTGACCTTGACAAGAATAAGAATATTTTTTAGTGGACAGAGCTGAAAAAGCCTCACTGGAATATGTAAAACACAATGAAAGGCAAGAAATGGGAACAGCAAGTACGAGCAAGTCTCGCAAGTGGTTTGCCCTAAAGGAGAGCAGACACAGGCCCACAGGTGGAGGGGGAAATCACGGTCACTGCTCTGCTCAAAACCCTTTAGTGGCCCCTCCTGCCCTCAGATCAAGGCCACACTAACTTGTCATTTAGAGCTCACTCTAATAATGCCCAGCCCACACCGTGCTAACCAGACTCCCCATGTGAACCCTCCTCCCGACTGGTAAGGACAACACCTCCTGTCTTCGCGTGGCAACACCCACTTGGTCCAATGAGGTGCCAGGTAATCTATCAGTGACTCAAAAGGAGCAAGATGAGGTACCCAACCCTCAGAGAACTACCACACAGCCCAGTGGGGCAGCCCTGATGCATCAAATGTTCTGCTGCTGACAGGGAGCCTGGGGATACTGCCTGGGGAAATCCAGGAATGACGATGTCTGAATGGGAGTTTATACTGAAGCAGAGGGGCATGGAAAATAAGCACACAACAGAATGTATCTCCATGCAGGTGTAAAATGGTCTGACAAGGATGGCTGGTAGGGAGGAGATGGAAACGGTGACTTGGAGAAGTTGGAAGCAATAATAATAATCCTAACTAATGACTATTGAGTATTTTCCATGTACCAGGTGCTTTAACATCATCACTAGTGTTATCACATACAAGATTCCTGTGGGGTGGACGCCATTATGATCCCCATTTTTCAGATAAAGAAAAGAAGGCTTAGAGAGGGAAAGTAACACATTCATGGCCACAGCTGGAGTATGGTGAGTTGAGATTTGAACCTAGGCAGTCTGACTCTGGAGTTTGGACAGAAACAAACAGACAGTTAGAAAGTCTCTTCCTAGCAGATTGAATGACAGGATCAGTATTTCTATTTCAGAGCCCAACTCAAGAGGTGGGGGAAAGGAAGGACAAGAAGGTGGAGAAGAGACAGGAAGCATGGGTGTACAGGAGTGCAAAGGGAATGAGAAGGAATCAAGGAGTAGAGTACAGGTGGAATTGATAGGAGACAACAGATGGGAGGTAAGGTTAGAAAGAACAAAGAGGCAAGGAAACGGCAAGAGGCCCAGCTTGTACCACAGGTAGAAACTGTAGCTCTTAACTTAGATCAGCAAGGTCAGAAGAAACGAAGGGAAAGAGGCAGAGACAGGGAAAACCACCACACTGAATTCCAGATACGTGTCCCTTACCTGCCTCTGAGCAGAGCTATTCTGACTGGGAAAATAAAAAGGTTTTTTTTAAAACAACTGGGGAAAGAACTCTTAATTTCATTGGGTGTAACCATGAAATTGTGATTCTGTTACAACAAGAAGCCCTTATCCATTAGACACCCACCAAAGCATCTGCAGGTGAAGGGATGTGCTGCAACTCCTCTGGCAGCGAAAAGAGTGAGAGCACTGGACGGAGCAAGAACAGCACAGTGGTAACTCCAGAGCAGACAAGCCCTGCGTGTGAGCAGTCCATCAAATGCTGGGGTGGAGGGGTCATGAACAGGGGCCACAAAGTCTGAAGAACAGTCCCTGTGAAAACTGTCATCCTTACAACAGGCCTCACTTCCTGGGGAAACCAGCTGGGGCTCTGATGGGATGTGCCATTGGATGGCATAAGATACCAAAGTTGAGCAAAGCCCGCGGTGGTTTGGTAAGTGGCTCCCACCTGAAGCTGGGCTGTCAGGAGCCCAGGAATCCTCCCTGTGCCCATCAGGCAGTTCTCTTGGGCAGACAGGAGCTGTGGGGGCAGAACAAGAACAAGAAGTGTTCAGGGGAGTCCATGGAAACCCTCAAGCTCCAGCAGACTAGGGCTTCCTCTTCCTTAAAGGCACCAGGAATTGACCTGCCACAGAAGAAAAGATTGTGGGCATCTTGCTGGGAACACAGCTAGGATGTGGACTGCAAACACAGCCTGCCCTCACAGGCTGCTGAAGCTGAGCATGAACTGACCCTCTCTCACCTTGGTTCTTAATAAGGCAAGTTAATACTTAACTTGGCACTTAGTATATACCAGAGGCTGTTCCAGGCCACTGTAAGAATTTTACCTCATTCTACTACAACAACTCAGTGAGGTATGATCTGTATCTCATTTTATAGGTGAGAAAATTGAGGTACAGTGAGGTTGGTCTCTTGCCCAAGGAGATGGAGCCTAGATGAACTCGGACTGGAGAGGCCATATTCTTAACCAGTAAAGGCAGTGATGGTGAGCCACTGTGGGCTGTAAGAATTCTCAGTGTATCCGTTATGAGAAGAATCAAGATCGGTCACAAGGCGATAAGCACTGAATCTCATTATGCATCTACAGAGTTCTACTTCAGACTTCTTGAAATTTCTCCATAATAAAAACTTAAAATGGAACTTAAAATCCAAAGCATGGCCTACCAGAGATGTGGGAATCCGTGATTCCTGTGGTCTCAGGACTTCAGAAAAACTTGCCCAGAGCGCCCCTGCCCCACCTCTTCCTCCAAGGACCGAAACCAGGGACGACTAGCCAAACAGAGACCCCAAGATCACGCCAAAATGGCCACTTCACACCCAGTGCAACCCGGGGACGTCTGGTCGAGGCAGCCCGAGCGTTGCTCCTCCACAGCAAAGCTGAGGGGTAGTTGGGCCCGAAATAAGACTCAGTGCCCACCCACCAAAAATTCTGACACATGGCCCCAGGGGCGGATCCCACAGCACCACCTGGGAAATATCAGATCCCCAAAAGTGTACTTACCCAACTCCCCCAACCCCCAAAACCTGAGGACTTGTTTCAATAAGCGTTCCTCCCTCTCCCAAAATCGCGATTTCGACCAAACCGAACCTGTCCCCACCCACAAGACACCCAGCACAAAAGATCCGAGCCCAGCACCCACCATCACTGGGCTTCACGACTGAGCTTCATCCCAGTCCCCCGGAGATGCGCGCCCACACCCCCAAAATAAGACATCCGGGAGAGCACGGCCTGAGCCACGACAGCGCGTCCCCACCCTCCCTCCTCTCCCCGCCATCTGCACTGCCCCAGCCCCAGCCCACAGCCCAGTCTTTGATGACCTACCTTTCCGCGCGCGCAAGGGCACTACTGAGGCAAGGGTCCCGCTGGAACCCCACTCGCCAGCGCCACCAAAGAACAAGGGGTCACCCAACCACCAGCTGGGACGCCACTTCAGTAGGTCGCCGGAACTACACTACCCAGAACCCTCGGCGTGGCCCGGGACCATACCTCCCAGGATGCTCGGCGCATCCAGGAGCGCACTGAGCGCCAACTGTTCCCATTGAACTCCGAGGGAGCCGTTTCAAGACAACGTGCTCCGGTCGCTGGAGGATGACTACTGTGGCACCTGGATCTCCCCTCTTTTTATTTAAAACCATGTTCACAAAACACGTAGAGGGTTCAGGTGAAGCTCCCCGCTCTGCGTAACACCTTCCCTAACGCCTCCCCCTCAACGACTACAAGCCCCAGCGACCCCTGCAGTAACTTATGCATTCGATTCTGGGCCCGCCTCCGAGATCGCGGAAATGACGCGTCAGAAGAGCTTCAATTCCCTTGAGACTGGCGGGGGTCGGCGGCCGGTCTGTGAGGTGGTCCTGCTTTGGCGGAGGGGCTGTAAACCTGGGGGCTCGCTATTCCGCGAGCGCCGGGCAGGCGTGGGCTCGTCCTGCTCACAGACCCCTTTAACGCCATTTAAACCCATGGAGAGACCGAAGCTGAGAGAAACAGCAGTCTTCCCGAAGTCTCACGTCTGCTAGGAGGCCGACCCGGGTTCTGAGCGCACGCTTTCAACCCGACCACCCGATCACGGGTACCCGGAGACCTTTTTTCTCTGTTGGAATCCACGAAGTTATAGGCAAACTATTTCATGGGGCACAGGAACCTCACTTTCAGATCACTGCTTGGGCCAGAGCCCGCCGTCGGCTTGGTTGGCTGTGCTCCAGGTTCTGGTTGAGAATGGGGCAGTGCTAGTGTCGTCTGGGATACCCCAATGGGGGAGCCGGAGGGTAAGACCCATTTCACCCGTGGGAGGGCGTTTCCACCCGGACGCTTTCTCACTTCTCTTTACCTTCATCAGCTATGTTTTCCAAGATTTTGTCTTTCTCTAGGAAGACCAAGAAAATGTCCACGTGGCCCGGAGAGCTAGTGAGAGACAAGAATCTCCTAAAACAACTTCTTGGAGAGTGAATCCATTCTTTCTCTTGCCCCGTTGCCCTGTTCGTTGTGAATTCAGTTCATCCCTGGCCCTGCAGAAGTGTCCAGGCTTGGAACCGCGGTCGTCATCCCTCTCTGCCCCACCCATGACTCAGTCATTCAAGAAATTAGCTGTTAACAACATACAGTATCAAGGATATCTGTGTTTAAGTGTACAGTGACGTTTGTTCTGTGCAAAAGGCAGAGATGGCTGTGATCTTGGGCCTGGAGACCAAAGGAAGACTTCCGAGATGAGCTCCCCTGAGGAAAGAGGCAAGATGAAGAGTTGGAGGGAAACAGGCTAGTGGGAAGGCAGAAGGAATCCAAGTCAGAGTGCCACTGGGCAGACTGTCCTGGCCTCAGTGAGGGAGGTTTTCATTAGCAAATTAAAAAATCAGCCCCAATTGTGATAAGGTTCATCCATAGAAAAGGTAATTATGTTTCTCCTTGACTCACAAAAATATACTTCATAAGCTAAGGATACTCAGTAACCACTTTTGAGATAAAATAATTTAATGGATTAAAAAATATAAAGATAAGTGATTGGTATTACTGTTATCCTAGAAATACAACACAAATATTTGAGGTATATGGTATTTTAGCTTTTCTGTAAACTTGTAATACATACCTGTGCTGATGTTAGGTTATAGGACATTAATAATACTCACTAAATTATCTAGTTAATCTTGTTCTGGTGGAATTAATTACAACTTTAAATTAGAACTTCAGGCACATTTTGTTATATTGACTTCCCCACATCTGAGAAATACAGAATATACCATATGTACTCTGATTGTACCCCCTGAATGCGCACACACATTTTTCCTGAACCATTAGTGAACAAGTTGCATATACCATATGTCTGCATGCATTTCCTAAGAATAAGGAGCTATTTTACATGATGTTCAATATTTAACACTGAAGTGAATCTTGTACATAACCTACCACCCATATTCCAATTTAACAATCGACCCAATAATGTTTCCTCATTCTAATATAGAATCCAGTCTAGGATTTTAGCTTAGTTGTCATGTCCCCAGTCTCCTTCAGTGTAGGATATTTCTCAGTTTTTGTTCCGTTTTGTCCTTTATGACAATAACATTCTTGAAAAATTGGGGTCTTTTTTGGAAGTTGAACATCTTTCACTTGAGGTTTGTTTCAGGTCCCATATGATTAGATTTAGGTTGTATGATCCTGGTCAGAGTACTGACTTACGGGGAGTTGTGTCCCTCTCAGAGTATCACCTCTGGTGGTCCCGATTTCTCCCTTGTCAGTTTCTGTTATTTCCCTTGTAAACTCTGGAGAGGTAACTTTGAGACCACCTCAATGATTCTTGCCTAAGCCAATCTTTACCATGATGGTTACAAAGTTACAATTTTCCAGTGCCATCAGTTCTTCCATATTTTCCAGTTGGCACTAGGTATGTAAACAGGATGCTATTTTAAAAGAGAAAATACAGTGTTCCAGGTAACAGTGAGAGATGGATGCGCAACCCCCAGGTCTCAGTGTCACGGGGCGATTCAGAGCTTTGGAGAGCTGTGAGAGCATGGGGGAGTGGAACATGAGGTGGGAAACAGTAAGAGGCAAGGCTAGTGAGGGAGTTTGGGGCTCCACCAACCTCCTCACCTGCCTGGATGAGGTGTCCAGACTCCATCCTGTGCTTTGGCAAGCTTATAACAACACAAAACCTGATTGTTAAAAGAAAGGAGCTTTATTGATGTATTAATTTTTTATTTAAATAATGCATCCATGTACCTATATATTTGATATTTTCAGAAATGCCTATTGCCCCTTAGCAAGTTAAAATTTTTTTATTATATTCATAGTTAAGCAAGGCTGAGCATCGTGATCAGATTTTTTAAAAATTACGATAATGCCAGCAGCAGTGAAGAGCAGATCCTGAAGAATAAATAGATAAGGGGCAAAAGGAAGTAAGATACAGAGAATAAAGGGCTGATGGTACCTTTGGTAAAGACAAATGAGATTTATTATTGATGAGCATCTGGGAGTCATTGGAAAAGTCAATGTAGACCAGAGCTGCTCAAACACAGATATGCTGGGGATTCTGATAAGATGCAGATTGGGAGTCTGGAACCTGAGCTCCCCAGCAGGGGAGAAGCTGCTGGTGTGGGCTGGGGTGTGAAACTCTAGGAGGCTGTAAATGACAAAGAGGGTGTGGATAAAGCGAACTACAGAAGGAGCCAAAGGTCTCTCCTGGAAATGGCTTAACAAGGTGTCTCTATGAAGATAAACAATCACTACCTCATGATTCCTTTGGGATTTTAGTCCCCAGTAGTCTCCGAGGGCCCAATGACCCAGGTGTGACTCAATCTCAGGTACTGGATACTATTTTTTAAGCTCTTTTCAGGAACCAGACACTATGCTTCATTCACATCATCTCGCTGAGCCCTCAGAACAGCCCAATGGAGATTACCCCCTTTTTAAGGATGGGGACACAGAAGCTCAGAGCTGGTGGCAACCAGAAAGTTACAGAACCCACATCTGAACCCCTGTCTGACCAAACAATCCTGCTCTTAATGAGGTGCCCATCACACACCACACACAGGGCTCATTAAATGAATGGGTTGCATGCCCTGCCCTCCAGCAGCACAGACTAACGGCTGGGAGAAGGACGTGTGCAGGTAATTACCGTCCAGCCATGTTAGTAGGGAAAGTACCACTGAGGTATTAGCTTTCCGCTATGCAGAATGCTTTGGAGAACTGTAATGAATGCCCTTTAACAAAGTAAAATATTGAAAACTGGATAAGCTGAAGTAACATATTTAAACATAATAAATAATTGAACCTACCTTAATTCTTTTCCTCCCAACATTTATATAAAAACTTTCTAACAGTTGAGAAAATTGTGCAGTGAATATCCACATGCCCACCCTAGTTCACATTTTACTCTGTTTTCTGTCACATTCCTCTCTGTCATCCCTCCATCCATCAGTACATCTAATTTTTAAGGCATTTCAAAGTTCTAGATATCAGTTCACTTCACCCCTAATCAGCATGCCTATCACTAACTAGAATTCAATGTTTATTCACAGTCCTTTTTCTAAGTAAAACTACAATGAAATGCACATATCTTAAGTGTACCATTTAATGGCTTTTGACAAATGCCAGGCCCATGAAACCCAAACTCTTCCTTAGATACAGAAGCTTCCCATCTCTCCAGAAAGTTCCCTTATATCTCTTAGTGCTCACAGTCTCAAACGAATCACTAAACTAGTGATTCCTGTCCTAAATCTTCATGTAAATGGAATTAGCCTTTTTTTTTTAAAGAAGCCTGTGGTTTTAGCAAACAGTTGTCAATTAACTGGACTACAGGTATGTATCCATTAGTACTAGTTGATAGGATATGTTTGTATAGTTGAGTGATAAGAAAGGGTGGAGGGCTGCAGGGGCATGACCTTCACGCCACGGTACATACATGGACACAGTGGATGAAGGAGCATCAGAGTCCTGTGTGAGAGCAGTGACCCCCAGTGAGGGGATTCAATGGCTTACAGCAGGGGGCCACAGCCTGGAGCTCCCAGGCCTCCAAGCGTCCTCAGAGTCATTTGAACCCTTATTATTGTTTTTAATATTTCAAAACGTCAAAGAGAAATGATTTGTTATTCTCCCACAAGGCAGCACAGACTGACAAGCCCTTTTTCCATGCGTTGCTTTTTGTCTGTTACTATATAGTCATAATAGCTAACGTTTACAGAATGCTTTTGCTCTGTATCAGTCACCGTTTTAAGTGT